CAGACATGCTGAAATTCATTTCGGTTTAACGCAATATGCCAAAAATTCGCACGAATATGAAAACTGTAGATTTTTCACATTCAGTTCTTTAAAGGGAAATGTGAATTTTGAATGTTCTTTAAAATTCAGATTTCCCTTATTCGAGATGGAGGCTATAAAAATTGAAACGTGGGAATTTCCAGTGGTCAAGTCGGACGGTATCGGGGTTGAGGTTTTATAATTTTTCGGAAGAGAGATTTTCCCCGCGGTGAATCTGCATGGAGGGTCGAAAATGATACAAACTTGGCACATTCAAAGCTGATAGCCAAATCTGTCCAAGTAAAATGATCGTTTTTGAAAATTAGAATTTAATATGATTTGGAGCCAGAAATTCCTTGCCATTCCTCAGATTTTAGGATTTGATGCTATCAATATTACTCTATTTCCAATAACTGTACTTCATATTAGACAGGTCGGGAATTATGTTAGGTTGAGAATTTTCAACGTTATGCAGGTGCTGTGAACTTCAGGGTCGGTCGGCTGGTTTTAGGTTAGATTTAATGTTACGTTGTTTACAGCATAAGGAATTTCAAACCTATTTTTACGGGAAAGAGCATTTACCCTGGTCTAAATACTTTCACGCACTGGTCTATTGTATGAGGATTGCTGAATAAAAGTCAAGTTGGTCACTCCGTCTACGATTGATGGCTCATCATAATGGAGTTTTTCTGATCAGTCACGCACTGGATCATTTTACTGGTTCGATGTGGGATTTTCGTCAACTAAAAATGCACATTCATCGTAATCCGTCTCTATTGTTGGCCGTACTGTATTTCTGTCAAACGCGAAGCAGGCTCACAAAGGCGTGTATTCAGTGTTTCATCAACTCCCATCTATTTCAGCTTTACGGCTTCCATCAATTTATTTTCAGCATAGAATTCGTGGTCAGTTGTTTCTGGGTTACTCGAGCTTCGCGTGATCTTCAGACTAGGGACAGGACGCACGAGGGGACGAATTCCGACCTGGGTCAAATTTCAGCCTAATTGATCCTGATGCGGCGGCGGAAGCGATCGGCTGGGAACCGCTAGCTGTCTAATCCTATTCGCGTGACTCACTGCTTCTGAGCCCCGTTGCATTTGTTGCAGTATTTCCCCCCGAGATTATCCCTTATTATCGACCGTAATCTCGAGAAGACCCGCGACGCGACGGAGGGATTAAAAAAAATTCCCAATCACTATCATCATCATAATTCTGCATCCCTTTGTGACATGGACAATTGCTGCCTTCCGCAGGAAACTTCTCTCCTGGCACAACAACTCGTTTCCATGGAAAACTACATATTACTTTGCTGTCTCGAACTTGGCTTCTTCCACCTGTTGAAAGACTATCGTCCGGAAAGTCGACTAAACGAGTGATGAAAGCGACAAAGCGTGGTCTTATGGTAGCTTATACAGTATTTAGACACCGCAATAAGTCCATCAACAAAGTAACGCAAAGCATCTGTAAATGAAATGGTTATAATTTATTCCAGATCCTTTTAGAATTTCATTGAAACATTTTTATATGAATTATTATGAAATAATTATTTCGAACAAATAATTTTCTAAAGAAACCGCAAAAATGCTTTTAAAAAAAGTTTGGGAAAACGGTACCTGAAGCCATCACGAATGAAAAATCTTTCATCCGCTTGAAAAATATTGCTGACGCGTCCTAAGGTAACTCCAATTTTTTGTGAAGATGATCACTTTTTATGAGGTCTATTATAGCCGGGATTTGGTCCACTATCCGGAGAGAAAAAAAATCGTTGCAGCCCTATCCCACCCTTGCGAAATTCTGCGCGAGACGTTAATAGACACCGATCTTTTTTTATTGAAGAAAAGAAAGGACGCTTTGATTCCCATTTACTTCTTGAGTGGAAATATATAAAAAACAAGAAACCTGAGAATAAAATGACTTTGAATCTGGATCATGCTAGAATGTAACGAGTTTATTGGGCGAGCGGTGTTGAGAGTTCGTTGGGCGAGGGGTTCGGCACGTCGGAACGGAAACAATGCATTTACCTCAATCATCCACGGGTCGTTTTCTCGTCCTCCGCTCCAGCGGAAGTACTGATATATCCGTGCTTTATAGACAACGACTCAATGTTCCACTTAAGTAATCCAGCCGATGAAGTATTTGAGTTCCCCGGGCCTTCACGGGCATTGTTTTGAGATAATTTTTATTCTCTTTGATCGGGCACGTCGGGCAGGTCAAATACGGGTTGAGTCAGTGCACGGATCAGTATTCGACAGGTGACCATCTCACCACACCCATGCGACCGAGTTGGTCAAATTTTTAATTTAAAAACAGATTATCCTCCGGAGACTGCTCGTTCGGTCATTGTCTGGATTGTATTCGGGAGTTGGAGTCCCAGGAGCCATGCTATTACACTTGCTTACGAACTCGTTTCGTGAGCTGCATTTTAAACGTTTCTGGAGTAACTTTTCAATTGGGAGGGGCTGAATAAAATCCCGAATATCTAAACGTTCAACAATTATGCATGCTTAATATCCCAGTAATTTTAGAAACTGTGTGATTAGCTCCCAGAAATAGAAATTTGGGAAAACAGCCAGCCATTCAGTTCTCAATCATACGCAAGGGGATAAAGAAACACTTAGTTTTAAAGGTACTGTAATATTGATGTGAAGGTGCTGCTATTTCAGAGTATTACAGATAAACTCTCATCTCTCAACAACGATTTTCATCTGCAACGATATTCTTAGAACACCGTATTTATTCTGTGATCCCAATTTAAAAGATCTGTGCGACCATCTAAGGAATTGTTTTACTGAGAATATCGTTGTTGACGACAATTTTTGTAATTGTAGTCCAACCGTGATTAAAAAACAGCTTTACGTTGGGAGTTTCAGACGCTATGAAAGATTCCTTGGCCATTAGTTATTCTAGGATATCATTAGGAAGACTTCCGTTTCTGGAGACGCGAAGAAAAGAAAGTCGCAATTTTTCTTGGTTACGAAACAAAAATTCGCCCAAGGATTCTTCAGATTATTAACTGAAAATGTTTGCTTGTCACTCGTAAAGCCATGTCTCTCTACAGTATATCGTCATATTGTATGCAAAATGATTTCCTTTCTTATCTCCGATTGCTTAGAACACAAGTTTCAAAGTCAACGACGAAGAATGGAAACAGGTAGCAATTAATGTTTCAACCTTTTCAAACTCTTTGTAACATGTCGGGGAAAACAACTTAATCCAGTCCGAGGAGCTAATATCTTAAACGTGTCTTAAAATGAAGCTGAGAGACTGCAATGGTAGTTTTAACCTCTTAAATCAAGTTGCACTTCGAAAGAATTTTCTTCGTGGTCTCACGTCACGGAAGGTTTAGCTCGAATAGTTCCCGAAAAACGCTTTCTTCGTACGCTATAAAGGCCATTTTCAAAAACGTGAAAATCAGCAAATTTTGCTGTCATAGATTTTGATCATTTATTCTTTTATGTTTCTGACCTCGCGAAGAAAGATTAAATCCGATTCTCTCGAGGACGACGGAGCAATATGAATGCAATGCATGTCTTGATGTTCAGCACCAACTTCATCCTCTAGTTCAAGAGGGTGAACTTGAATCAATTTTTCTCCGAGTGAGCGTCTTTTTTGGCTTAAAAAATGAGAATCCGTGGTGACAGTCCCTGAATAAGCTCAAATTATGCGTTCTGTGACCAAAAATGAACGCCAGATGGTCAGTTCACTCTGACTGAAAACGCATGCATGCAGGTGGAAAGCTTTTTCCCTCGCAACCCTCTCCCACGCAACCAGAGTTCCACCTCCGTTGATCGGCTTCTTTTCTTCCTCTTCCTCTCATCTATTTTATTTATTCCTCATTTTCTTTGTTTGAAGCAGTGTGTCCACGCAGTCCTGTGAATTAAGTGTGAAAACGCTGCGGGCGAGCGTGTCGCTGTCAAAGACAGCGACCCCACGGCGTCCCCGCCAATTTACTGCCTCAACGCCTGGTTTTGTCCCATTAGAGACACCTGGAAAGCTTCTCGGAATACTGTGTATTGTTCTGCTCCAGATAACACTGGAATACCGTTCCTATTACTTTCTGGGGTCCATCATTAAGAGACCCAAGCTTCTCTACCATGACCATTGTTACTTAAGCTCTTCGATTATTGCCTTTCCGGGTAGCGTCTTTCACATGGTACACGCTAATGTTGGTTTCCATTCATTCAAACATTCTTACTGGGCTCGAACATTGCTCTCGTTCAACAAAATCGCAGAAATTTGAAGAACAGAAGGGAATGGATGAGACGCGTTTGCATCTCATTCCCCAAACAAAGACATACTGTGTATAGGAAATCATTAATCTAACTGAATGCGTCCCCTGGCCAAAAAAAAAAAGAAGTCCTCACACTGCTTCTTCGAAATGTCATGGTATAAGGAAAAACTGCATTTTCTTCCATTTTGAACAAGATTAAATTATTAAATAAATGCATGGCATCTTCTTCCCAATAATCCTCTTATCTTGACATGAATTCTTTGGCAAATGATCTGCTTCAAAGATTCAAAAAATCATACTTTACATTACCGAGATATTCAGAACAAATTACGATGAATAAATTTTATTTTCTTCTGAATATTAGACCAAAAATTATTTCTACATTTCTTTTAAATTTAGTACAAGTTAATTTTAATCTAGTCCCAGGGATCTGGCGGGGGAAAATATTATTGCTGGCAAATTGAAATTATTTGGTGCTTCCTTTATAAAGGAGATAAAATACTGTACATCGAACTTTCCACAAGAAAATTTCAACGTCTCTGATTTTAAGACTTTTCTGCCGTTGTCAAGGAAATAAGACTGAATCTAGCTACAATTGTATGCAGTCTGCACGAATCTCGAATGACTTTTGTTAGCACGCTGACTGATGTGTGCAGCATCGAACAAGGACCTTGATGCTGAGTGAAACGTGAATGCGGAAATTTGTTTTTGTGAATCCGAAAGTTTCCTCGATTTTTAATGCACTTTTGACGCTCTTTGCGTTTCGCAGCAGACCAGGTGTGACTTTTCAAACGAGAAGTCTCCTCGTCAGCGGGAAAAATCGGCAAAAAACAGAGCCGACGGTGTGTGTAGTATGTACGTGTGAGACAGAGCCTAAGCCCTACGGAGAGTGCCTGCCTGCTCAGGTAACGAAGTAATCGGACAAGGTCTTGGCGTGAGATCGCTTCACTTTTTTTTTCGGGCCCAACGTCGACGTCAGAGACGAGCCACTCAGCAAAGAAGGAAGAAAGAAAGAGGAAGAAGGAAAGAGAAAGTTGGAGCGGATTCATTGTCCCGTGCAGCAGCGAGAGTCCGCCACGACGAAGTGAATGGTAGATCAAGGCTCGGCGCCCGGGCCGCGTTGCGTCATTATATCAGCACACCGAGGCAGGCGATATTCCGTAAAAGGAGAACGCTTCAGGCAAGGTGAGTCCCGCATATCTTGCGCACATCTGGTCCGCGTTTCGACGATTCCGCGGCTTCGGACCCGCGTTTTCGCCCCGGGATCTCGACCCGATGCTCGGGAACTAAGGTCGTGTCGGAGGCCCGTTCGCCAACAGCCGGTTTCCGGGCCAGGCGACGACAGCCGGCCAGGGTGTCGATCAGCTGGGGTCCTCAACACCCTGGCCTTGGGTACAGGGCCGAAGTTAAATCCCATGCGGGCGTAGCCGCATGATGCCTTATATATGCCAAAGAGAGGGGAGAAGAAGGCGCTGACTCAACCGGGGCATCTCGGACTCGTTGTCTGTGTTGATTAATAGAACGTGAGGAGCGATTTGCATGTTTAGCCTGTATGGGGCAAAATGAGAGAGCGGATTCCTTTTTATCGTTTGCCCTCCGCAGGACTCCAGGAGCCAATGTTTATTTTCGGCCGGTCGTGGATTAATGAACCTGAGGTTTTTCTCCTTGGCCTCACGCGGATCTTGCTCAATGCGCGCGGACCCGTCGGCTGCCTCATTCAGCCTTGCAGTCGTCGCGATGCTCTTCCCACATTTCCTCGTTCACAAGGAAAAAATTTCAAGATTTTGTTTTACGGAACGATTTCTTCAAGAGAGTTACACGTGACCTGGAGCTTTAAAAAATGATGAGCTTTCGCCTTTGGAGGAGAAAAGAGGAAAAAATGGCTTTCCCCTAATTTGTATGATGGTACAGTATATAATTCGTTGCACAGAAAATATGGAGACACGTTAAACGTATACAAGTGATATTTATCTTCCACGATTTTTGAGTGCAAGGATTATCTCAATTGAATGATATTTCATGGTCCCGTTGACCTCTCATCAGCAAACCATCAACCAAGAACTTCTCAACATAACGAAATATTTCTTAGTTCCTTCAATTTCGTTCAGAGAGAGCCCACACGTGTAGGACAGCTAGCGGTTCCAGGAAACCAATCCACAAGGAATATAGCTGCATGCAAAATCATGGACAGAAATTACGTGTTAGGTATTCTTCGGAAATCAAGTCAGAGTGTTTTTGAATCAAAGATACCGAATTTTTCTAAAAACATGTTCAAAACGGGTAAATTCCTTTGGCTGAGAAATAACCAGATTTTTTGTCGGAAAATCATGTTTGCCTTCGTAAACAAATCCGATTCTTCCTTCGAAATTTGGTTTTGAATGTACAGTATTGTGGTGTGCTGCTGCATCATACACAAACAGAAGTTATACTGTAGTATTTATAAAGTTGTATGAGAAGCTTATCTAATTGATCATACTTCATGTATGAGTGGAATTTCTACATTTGTTTCCTCTGTTAAAGTCTTCAGCGGCAAAACTTTCTCAAGCTTTCCAATAATATAAAGCACAGTACTGTGCTTGTATGTCGAACTGTTTGCGTGATCAACAATAATCAACCACGAAAAGCGATTTGCCATCATCGAACATCAGCAACTGATTATGGGTAGATTCTCGTAACAACGATGCTCAGCAGGAAACAAATATGCATCGTTATAAATCGAATTTCTTAGTAGATGGGCAGCTTGAAGAATGTCTGCCGAGAGCATCACATGAACAATCGTTGCGAAGATATTACGCTAGATTCGCATCACAGGCACAGTATATCGCCCTGCAAAATTTTGAGAAACCCCGGAATGCGATTTTGCGAATCTATTCAGATACTGTACCATATTTACACTATGACGAGAAAAGCTCAAGGATTTTCTGTAGAAGATGCTGTTGACATTAGTGTCAGGAAACCTTTCTAAGTTCGCGATAAAGATCATATCGCTGTAGATCTACAACAGAGGAAACCGCTCCGCAAATATCTGGGAAACCGCGTATGGCAAAGCAATGCAATGTCGTAAAGTTTTTTTTTTTTCGAGAAGGAAAAATTGCAAATGTTCATGTGATGACTCTGAAGTGTGCTTGAGGTAATAAAAAAAGTTATTGTTCGCGCAGGCGAAACAAGGCGAACGTAAAACGCCCAAGCATCATATCGCGAGCAGCAGTGAGTGCAACAACTGGCCGTGGAAGTTTCGTAAACCCGGGGACCTCGTATAGGGCCGAACGCGGGGCAGTCGCAGAATTCCCCGGCACTGGGTCACAATCGCCGGCATTCCGGTCACGTGCCGGGTCCGAGGACGTGCGGCGAAATCAATGGATCTTCTGTGGAGGCGCTCTTCAATGAGCCGAGCAGCAGTTAAAATGATCCCAAAAAATGACGCCGATAAAAGAAAACAACAACAACAAAAAACCATCGAGATAAAAGCGCTTCTCGGACCTTTTGCATACGCCATAGCCGCACCGGTGATATTGTTTCGGTATCCGTTTCAAAATCAGCCGCAGGTGATGTAGCTTCTTGGTCCGAACAAGCGGTTTCTCTCCGCGCCCCAAGGTTCCTGCGTAACGCAATCATATCGCGGCGGATGAATCGTTTCCGCCTTTTCTTTTTCCTGAGCGCTTGTCGGAGATTTAAATTTTTTTTTTGGCCGAGGACGAAGCGAGATGCTTGACACAAGATGAACGACTCACGAAATCTCGGTATTCCGGGCCCGAATACGGGTGAAATTATTCACGCGCTCGCCTTGAGCCGAGCGAACGCCGCTGCTCAGCCCGTGAAGGGATGGCAGACAACGTTAGCGTTGTTTTTAGATCGGTGTAAAACCATTCCTCTTTTCCTTCAAGCACGTTTGGTTCATCAATAGCTCGGTTCGACACTTTGAAGCAGGGCTATTTAACTGCTGGTGGTATCATTCGTGCACTGCTGGTGGCAACCTCTAGACGCGCAGTTATGGTATACTTGGTGGTACGCGGCAACACTTGAGTAAACTGAATGCTGTGGTCCCACGTGCCCATCGTCAATTCCTATCGTGAAGTCCTATGTTTATAATTGAAAAAAAGGTTTTGGGACAGCTTGAAAGCACAACTCTTTGAAGAATGACGCGCTTTTGAGAATAAAGTAATTGACGTGTTATTTTTGCCTGAGCTCATGCAAATGAAGTACAAATCCGTTTTAAAATCTAGATGAAAAGCACAGCATGAAGGCGATGGAACCATTATGATGGTATGTCAAGTCTACTAGGTCTTCAATGTGATACTGCATTCCTATACAGGTTTAAAAGGTCTACTTTAAAGCTTCCGAATTATCTAAACACCCATATTATGATGGTTGAAAATATAAATGTATGATGTACTGATCGAAAGAATTTGCATTGACCCTTTGAAGTCAAACTTGGCTGTTAGTTTATTTTTTTTTTATTCTTGTTCGGAAAAAGGTCAAAAATGCCAGGGCTACCCTGTAAAATCTTTTCATCTGTCAACGCTTACCGCCAAGAAAAAGGCAACATGGTGTTGCAATGTTCCATCTCATATTAATTCTGCATTGGACAGGAGACGCTCTGTTGATTGATCTTCTTTCTGGCCACGAAAGGGCCAGAATATTTGTACCACTGTCTTTAAACCTCAGAAATTAGCATCAAAATTCTGCTCGAGTCCAGTTTTTCGCGGGCATGACGCCGACCTCGTTAAGGAAATTTTTTCCTCTGTTTATTATTTTTTTTCGTCTAACGCATTGAATTCCGAGATCGGACCTTGACCGAAAGCCGGACTGCAGGATTTAGCCTATTTTAATTTCGAATTGCGTTATATTTCGTCGAAAAACTATACAGTACGTCGAAGATTTTATTCGTGCATAAATTCATAAATCCGAAATTCCTCTGTTTTACTTTCATAACAGTTTTACGTTCTTCAAAAAATTACCGAGAAACGAACTGTATATGAAGGTCAGGTCATACTCTCGTCGTTTGACGAGTGTCTAAAATTCTAAACGCTTTGAATGTGGGATATGCCTGGTTTTCGCACGGATTACAGGTTTTAGCAATAAATACTGTACTTTATCTGGTTTTCTGAAATCGAATCATAATACCAAGTGGAAGAATAATTTCGTTCATCATCCACGCATATACATTATATTCGTACTAAAGTTTTTAGAAAATAAAAGCCACAGCCATAGCAAAAATGTCTTTTTCATGCGTCACTCATGTGTGTTACCTTGATTATGCGTCTGCAGTAATGATTTCCTGTGATGCCTCTGGTGGATATCGTTCCTGTAAAAAATTTCCCATACCTTTTGAGTGAAGCTCCATGATGCGATGAAAAATCTTGATAATAGAATACTTTTGAATACATTGAAGGGTGTTTTTTTTCTTCCTGAACTGCAGCTGGAAACACGCCATTCCTGTTGCATGCAAAGTTCATCCACGAGTTCTAATGCAAGCCGTAGTTCTCGGGAATGCGAACGAAATACTCTAGCAGGAATTGTTTTTGCGAAATACTTTGGAATGTAAACGAAGTATTAGAACCCAGTCCCGTTACCACCCTTGGATTCTCTGATTGTGTCACGCAGCAGTCAAAGGTGGCCGAACGTAATGCGTTTCATTAACGTCTGGATGTTCTCATTATCGAATGCTAGTCAACGCCTTGATTGATTAATGTTCTCAACAGTGGTGTCATGAAGACCTCTGGCTTCAATGCCCCATGGAGCCGAAGGACGAAAAAATCAGCATTAGCGGAATAGAAAAGGAACAAATGAGACCCGAGAATCCGTGTCGGAGAGATTCCACTCGAGCTTGCGCAATCTGAGGGTGTTATTTCACTTCTTTTTCCTGCCTTTTTGCCTTGGTTGACAAACCGGTGACGGATCTTAACCCATAGGTCAAAGGCACTGAGAACCCGGGTCGAAAAACTACTCTTTAGTGGCCGCGAGCCATACGTACGCTCGTTTCGCGATGGGGAAACGCTGCCTCAATCAAAGAAGACATCTCTGCGGTCGGGCATTAGCGGGTATCCTATGAAGCAACGGCGTTGCTTGGACTAATGTCCTTGTCCAACGTCGTGGCTTGTTACGGGGCATCTCGTTCCGACGCCGGTTATCAAGGAATTTGGGGTCCATCCTTATGGTTTATATTCCGCCTCATAATGCCGGAT